TATATACCTAAAAGAGGTGTGGTTAATTTCTCCCATGATAATTGCAGATATCCTGATCTTCTTATATTTCTAGCAGTAATTGCTTCATATATTTTGAAACTACATTTTTGGCACAAAAATTTAGTGACTATCATATCTTCTTGGTGAACAAAACAACCTTTGTTCTTTTTAATGCTTTTTACTTTGAGTTCTTGCTTTTTCTGATATTAACATTGCTACATGTCTCTTGTTTGCTTGCTTGCTTGCTTGTTTTGTGCTAGTACATACAGGTGTTATATTTTTCATTCCTATTTCTCCTTTAGGAACCCTGGTGGCCCAATGGTTAAGCAGTCGGCTGCTAAGGGAAAGGTCAGCAGTGACTCTGCAGGAGAAAAGAGCTGATGATCTGCTCCCGTAAAGATTACAGACTAGGAAACCCTATGAGGCAGTTCTACTCTGTCATACAGGGTCACTACGAGCTGGAATTGACTCAACAGCACACAACAGTGAAAATTTCTCCTTTAGGTGAAACTCATAATAAACATCATCTAACTGGATTTTTTAAAATGAAATGCTTAAGATGAGAGTTTGCTTTTTAATAGATGATGTTAACCCATTACACATACTGATGTTTAGATTTAGTCCTGTCCTTTTCTTTTCACATGCTTTCTTGTTGTCCCTCCCGTTTCTTGCCCTTTATTAGACTGAGTTTTTCTCTTTGTTCCATATATTATTTCTCTAATGTTTTGAAAGTTATGCATCCTGTTTGTATTCTGTCGTTATCCCTAAAATTTTTGTTTTTCTATTATTAATTTTATTTCCAGTAAGAACAAAACTTTGCTACCGTTGTGAACATAGGAAGTCTTCACATATGATGCAAATGCTAGAGGTTCATTATAAAGTGCAATTTAATAAAAAGAGTTCAGAATTCAGTAATATTGTATAATTCCAAAAGGCACAGCTATGTTTAACTCCAATGCAATTACAAGAATGTGAACCCATGTTGTGCTTCATGATCATTTCTTTTGGATAGAGAAGGTTGATTTTGCGATTAACAGCAGCAAATTCTACTGTAAAGAGCTTCAATCTGCCTTAGCCACCAGGTTAAAAAAAATGTAAACTTCCTGGAATCTTAAATATAGTTTCACATTTTTAATATTTCCAATTCAAACCATAACATAGACCATAGGATAACCCATTGCCATTGCCGTCGAGTGGATTCCTACTCATAGCCACCCTGTAGGACAGAGAAAAACTAACTGCCCCATAGGGTTTCCAAGGCTGAAATTTTTACGGAAGGAAGGAGACTGCCACATCTCCTGCAGAGGGCTGGTGGGTTCGAACTGCCGACCTTTCTGTTAGCAGCTGAGTGCTTAACCACTGCGCCACCAGGGCTCCTTAGACCAATAGGATATATTAATATAATTACGTTCACATTGGAATTAATCATAAACAATTTGAAATTTTTATTTTATTAAAAAAAGGGAACACGGCTAAATGTTTAACATTTTAGAAATCTGGAATTTTTTTACATTTTTCGCTGTCTGTATCGTCGATGATTTCGTCATTTACAATGAAATAATGCTTTCAGGCCCACCCTGATTTGTCCAGGGCAGCTGCCGCCCCCGCCACATCAAGGGGGCGGGCTCCAGCCGACGCCACAATCACTTCCGCCGCCGCCGCCGCCGCCAACGCCGCCGCCGCCGCCACCACCGCCACCCGTCCCCGCTGCTGTCTGGCGGGGGAGGAGCTGGAGACCCGGGAGCAGCGGCTCTGGCGGTCGTGGCGGTCAGAGGTACAAGAGCTCTGCTCCCCCGAAGATCTTGCGAGTGTCCCGACTGGGTGAGTGAAGGGCTGTCTATGTCCTCAGTCCATCTACACCCTGGCAGTGGGTGAGTGGCCAGCCATGGGGACGAATGGCTGGGCACGGAGGCGAGGATTTTGGGGGGTTCTAGCGAAGGGATTTTCAGGTTCGTCCCCTCGGGAAGGGGTGGGGCGAACGCGGGACCTGACTGCAGAGTGAGGCCTGTGTCCTCCATCAGCCTGTTCAGGGGCTCCATCTTGCGTTTCTGATCCCCAGTGGCGCGGCCCCCACTCGAATGGCTCTAATCAATATTTGATAGGGGAGTGGTGGTCGTTCCCCTCTCCCGCTTCTCTCCTTCTCCTCCTCCGTTTTTTCTCTTCGGTCCCTTTGCAGAGTACCCCATGGACTTTCCTCCTCCATTTGCCTGTTGTTTTGTGGAATGGTAAATGGTTAAGATTTTTTTAGGTAAAAGTATTGTTCCCAGGAATGGAGTTGTCAGAAGAAAAAATTATTCCCAGGGAAAAACTACAGCCAGCCCTTTTCTCTCCTCCCCCCGCCCCCAACTTCCCTGCCACATCGGTTTGGGCCCGCCATTTGAGCTGATAACATTTTTCCGTCTCTCATTTCTCATTATGATATTGTAGGCCCCCTCTTCCTCCCCACTTCGAGCGCCTGCTTGCACACAGAAATCTTCCATTGCAGCCCCTTCCCCCCTTATACTCTAGGTTCCAGTGCTGCCCCTCCCGCGCGCATGCGCAGACGTACACACACACACACACACACACACACACACACACACACACACACACACACACGCACACACGCACACGCACTCACACACACACACACACACACTCTCACACACTCTCACACACTCTCACACACTCTCTCTCTCATACACACACTCTCTCTCTCTCTTCCCCACTTCAATGCCTTCTTCCAGCCCTCACCACCTGCCACATACACACCTCCAGGCCCTCCTCCCCCTGCATCCGCATACTCTAGCACTCTAGCAAACACATACACAGGCTCTCTGTCCCTCTCTTTCTCTCTCACACACACACCCCCCCTCCCCGTGTCTGCCACATACACATATAGAGACATCTGTCTATTGCTGGCTCCTCTTTTCAATGCCACTTACATACATGTACTCTCACACACACCTTTAACACAACCCTCTGAAGTGCTCTCCTCTCCTGTTCCCTTGTCTGCCACATTTGTGCATAGACATCCCTCATTTGCTGGTCCTCACGGATGCACACACTCGCACGTACATAAATCTTTCTCCAGGGACACCACCCCCCTCCCTGCTTGCTGTATTCACACATACAGACATTCTTTGTTGTCCTTGTTCCACTCACCACACACACTTCCCCTCTCCAGGACCACCCCTTGCCTGCTGCATTTGCTTACATTGATGTTTCTCCATTGCTGTCTCCCATTTTGACAAACACTCACACAAACTGATGGACACCCCCTCCAGTGCCACCGTACCCTTCCCTGCCTGCCACATATACATGAACACAGGCATCCCCCCCTACATTTCCACCTGCCGCACATAACAGCTACACACGCAACCATACATTCTTTTTTCTGTCATACTTACACAGACCCCTCTTCTCTGAAGCCACCCCACCCATGTCTGTCATTTTCACACCCACATCCAGAGTGAGTCTCATTCTAACACTCACATCCCTTCCCAGTGCATCTGTTGCCTACCCCTCCCCACTGCAGATAGACATCCCTTCATGGAAGGGGTACTGATCCACCTTCCACCTGCCCCTTTCCTCCTGACAGACATGTACACACTGACTCACGCACATGCAGTGATCCATATTTTCTACTCTATTCCAATTTGCATTTCTCCTGTATGTCTACAGAGCTCGGAAAAATGCAGGCACCCCGTAAAAAATAAACCAACAAAAAAATAACCACAGCAGTCTTTCTTCTTCCCACATTGGCACAGTTCCACAGTATTTCACCCACCTTCCAAACGTCCAGTCTCCCCCACCTTCTGTCAGATTCTCTTTTAAGTCTGGCTTTCCTACCAACACAGTTTTGTAATCATTTTGCCACCATTAAAAATGTGTTCCAGGTCTACACCTGACAGTCACTGGAATGCTACTCCAGGCCTTAGAAGAAAGTGAAACTAATTTTAAAGGCCCCTATTCTTTCTGTTACCTGCCTGCTGAAGTGAAAATAAATCTCCTTGCTCCTTTTATTCTGAACTGATTTGACTGTCCCATCTCAAAAGCGTGTGCAGGGAGCCAGGAGCCTTTCACCCACGCCCCAGCTGTATTGGAAACCTTCCTAAGTCAGAGCAATGGGTCAGGAATCTAGCAAGCCTGTGTGGCCCAAACCAGCAGGAGGGTATCAGTCCAATACAGGCAGGAGATATGGAAGAAGGCATGCTTATGTCAGTTTCAGGCCATCCACGAGCCAGCAGGAAAGGATTTCCAGCCAGAGAAAGACGACATCTGAAGTCCCAATGCACAGATCAGCCCCCAGTCAAACTACCAAGAGGAGCCGATCACCATTTTCCACCACTCGTCGTAGTTGGGATGACAGTGAGAGCTCAGGAAGCAGTCTGAATATTGATAATGAGGACTATTCCAGGTATCTGCCAAGAGATTACAGGGCTTTGGGTAGCAGAAGAGGAATGGCTTATGGACATACTGACTCCTATGGGGCCAGTGATAGTGAGGAGGAGGGGGCTGGGCCTGTTGAGCGAACAGCAGGGAGAGGGGAAACTGGCAAGTTTAAAGATGATAAGCTGTATGACTCAGAGAAAGGGGCAAGGTCTTTGGCTGGGATGCTACCACAGTTCTCTAGTTTTAACCATGATGTGAGAGAGGAGATTGACAAGTTAGACCCAGCCTCTGCAGTGAGATGCTCTACTAAGAGAGCTGAGTTTATACAGCAAAATGGCATGTCTTCTGCAGAAGACAAGGTGGCTACAAACGGTGACAACTCAGAGAGGGAGAGACAAGAGCAGAATATAGCTGAGTGTCCCAGCAGGGCTCCTGTGAGTATTTGTGGTGGTGGGGAAAACACCCTAAAGAGTTCAGAGGAACTGGTGGTGAGGCCCAAAATCAGAAATCTGGCAAGTCCAAATTGTGTGAAACCAAAAATATTTTTTGATACTGATGATGATGATGATATGCCACACAGTACTTCCAGATGGAGGGATACTGCCAACACTGATGAAGTCCACTCAGATGGCCTCGCAAGAAGAGGCAGAGGTGAGAGTTCGAGTGGCTACTCTGAGCTGAAGTACCCTGAAGAAAAGAGGGAAGCAAGGAATGACCAAGTGAAACCAGAAAAGGTGCCGAGACGACGACGAACCATGGCCGATGCTGACTTCTGGACCTACAGTGACGATTACTACAAATACTGTGATGAAGACTCTGACAGTGACAAAGAGTGGACTGCTGCTCTGCGTCATAAGTATCGAGGTCGAGAGCAAAATCTGTCCTCAAGTGGTGAAAGCTGGGAGACTCTACCAGGGAAAGAAGAGCATGAACCTGAGCAACCGAGAGCGAATGCCAGTGCCAGCCCCAGCCCCGGTGCTAGTGCCAGTGCTAGCAACAATGGCAGCAATTACCTTGAAGAAGTTGGAGAATCATCTCTTCAGGAGGAGGAGCCAGCATCCCTGGAAGAAGGAGAAATTCCTTGGCTCCAGTACAATGGAAATGAGAGTAGCAGCGAGGGGGATAATGATTCTGGTCATGAGTTTATGCACCCTGGAGTATTCATGCTGGATGGAAACAACAACCTTGAAGACGACTCCAGCGTGAGTGAAGACCTAGAAGTGGATTGGAGCCTCTTCGATGGATTTGCAGACGGATTAGGAGTGGCTGAAGCCATTTCCTATGTGGATCCTCAGTTCCTTACCTACATGGCACTTGAAGAACGCCTGGCTCAGGCCATGGAAACTGCCCTTGCACACTTGGAGTCGCTGGCGGTGGATGTGGAGGTAGCCAATCCACCAGCGAGCAGGGAGAGCATCAACAGTCTTCCTGAGATCCTGGTCACTGAAGATCACAGTGCAGTTGGTCAGGAAATGTGTTGCCCCATCTGTTGCAGTGAATATGTGAAGGGGGAGGTGGCTACTGAGCTGCCATGCCACCACTATTTCCACAAGCCATGTGTGTCCATCTGGCTTCAGAAGTCAGGCACCTGCCCTGTGTGCCGCTGCATGTTCCCTCCCCCACTCTAAAGACCAAGGCTGTTTACTCCTGGTCTGATTATTTTCCCCATCTGAAAGCCACAATACTGCAGGAGCCCTCTCAAAATTAACAATTGAAGTGAAACCAATCAGTCAATTAAACTAAACCTGTTGATTCCTTGTGATTGTTTCCAATGTGAAAATGGTTGTGTATGATTGCATTAAAATCATCTTGTCTTTTAGAGGTTAGAAAGAGAAAACTAAACTTTCTAAATGCTACTTGGAATTGCAGTAACAACATAGATTTTCTAACCTGAAAGTTGAAATAAGTTGCGTTTGTTTTCTCCCGTAGAATATGTTGCTGTTAATTGTAATGTCAAGTTTGTTAACTATGTCCAAAAGACAGTTATTTTTGTTGCATGTTATGGGTTCCTGTAATTGCAGTTCAGTAAAGCTTATTAAAGTTCTGCTTTTGGTTTTACATCGTATAATGGAATTGTTTGGTTTTGTCATAACAGCGGTAACTGAGTGACTTTATAATTGATCCCTTGCATTTGCGTCAAAGGTAGAGCTTTTTGATGTTCCCAACAGTAGGAAAAAAAATAGTTTCATTGAAAATGCTCACTGAACAACAGCAAAAAATTAAGGGTGATTATTTTTTAAAGTAGGAACAAAGTTTATAATTGGCAAGGTACTATAGGAGAAAAAGGTTGAATAAAGAATACTCAGTCTATGGGAAAGAAAGAAACACTGAGAAAGCATGATAAAAAATAAACAGCAATGGTAGGAATGAATCCAGACTGATTATAGGTATGAATGGGTTAAAATCACGTTTTGGAAAATAGAAACTTTCAGATGGAATGGGGGGAAAATAAAGCTTTATGCTGATTACATGCCTTATTACAGTGATACAAGAATAGAAAACTATATACTTGTCAAATGCTACCGATAAAAGGCAAAACAGGTACCTACCTACACAGAGTGAACAAGTTTTAACATTGTCATATTTGCTTCAGATCTCTCTCTCTTTCTCTCCCCCCTTTTCCTCCTTCTCTCTCTCCCTCTCTCCCCAATAAATAAACATTTTCAGGCACAGGTGAAGTTTCTCACCTCATCACATTTACCTTCTTCCACAGAGGTAAGCACTACCCAGGAAATGGTGTGTTTACTTCTTATCTATTTTTGTAGACATATGTATGTGCGTGTGTATCTGTATGTGTATATATATGTATATGTGTATATATATCCATAACCAACATAGGGTATATTTTTTAAATGGACATAAATGATAGATTGTACGTATCGTTTTACAACTTGATTTTTTCACTCAACATGGTTTTCGAGATTTAGCCATTTTGATATATGTAGATCTAGTTTATGCATTTTAACTGCTGTATACTAAATATTCAATTGTGTGAGTTATCACAGTTTATTTATCTGTTCCCCTATTGATGGACATTTAGGTTCCTCCCAGTATTTTGCGGCAAGGAACATGCTAAAAAGATGTCTCTGTGCACATGCTGAGTTTCCCTAGGATAAGTATATGGAAGTAGAATTTCTGGTTTAGGGTTTGAGCATCTTCACTCTAAAGAGATATTGCCAAATTGCTTTCCAACGTGACTGTACTAATTTATGCTCCTACCAACAGTTTATGAGAGCTGTTTTCCCATCCCCACCAGCCTTGATATTGTTAGTGTTCAACCTCAGTGATAGTCAGTGACATGTAAATTAAAGCAACAATGAAACATATTGTGTCCATTAGAAAACGATAAGGTTTTTCTTTATGATAATACCTAGTTTAGATTAGAGTGAGAAGAAATGGGAACACTTATGCTGTTGGTGTGAATGTAAAGGATAGCAGCCTTTTTGGAGAAGAGTTTGGGTGGCAGCTATCAAAATATAAAGTGGTGCATGTCCTTCAACCCAACTTAGATACTTTGTAGTATGGAATTACTACTATGCAGCAGTTAAAAATTGTATGCTGATATGGAAGGCTCTCCAAGACATAATGTTAAGTAAAAAAGCATATTGTAGAGCAATATGTACAGTCTATGTAAAATAAAACCTTGCAAAACCAACCTATATATGAAAATGCATAAAAATGTCTGGAAGGCTACATACTCAACTGATGGCAGTGGCTACCTCTGGGAACAGACAGAGGATTGGGGGAAAGGAGTGAGGAAGGGGGTTTTGATTTTCACCCAAAATAATTTGCTTGATTTTTTTTAACAGCGTCAGTGTATTTTCATACATGTTAACAATATAAGCAAAATTTTAAAAAATTCCAATTTTAAAAAAGAGATAATTATTTTTCTCTCCCTACAAGTACAGAAACCCAGGTAGAGGCCACAGTTCCCTTTTCTATAACCGGTCAGGCCAATAAAACCAAAAAAAAAAACCAAACCCATTGCCGTCGAGTCGATTCCGACTCATAACCACCCTATCAGATAGAGTAACTGCCCCCATAGAGTTTCCAGGGAGTGCCTGGTGGATTCAAAGTGCCGACCTTTTGGTTAGCAGCCGTAGCACTTAACCACTATGCCACCAGGGTTTCTGGTCAGGCCAATAGCTGATATTTATGACTTTGTTCCCCACGACCCATCTGTCTTACCCCTTTGCCTTCAGCCGGCACCTCAGCTGGTCATGGAGATTCAGAGAATTTGGAGGGCCCTTTTTATGTGTGGGCTTGTGATGCTTTGTCATTAACATTTCCGGAGTGGCACCACACGTGGTAGTATGAGGAGGTATTTTAGGAGCAAAACTTGGGTCCTAGTCATCTTCCTCCCTGCTCCCATTGCGTAGCAGCAACCTGGATTTCTCCTTGATAATCAGAATTGGTAGCCCCCTGCTGGTATTGGAGAAATCTGCTGCTACAGGGAGTCTTGGTGGAGTTGAGGCTCTTCCTACTAGAGAAGCCCTCAAAGCCAGAGGCCTGTGCAGACCCTGAGCAGCTAGGACTTGGGCCTAGGTCCTCAGTCTAAGCAACCAGACCCTGATCTCCAGTACTGTAAGTCTGGAGAGAAGAATGCAAAGGAGTAGGGTACATGAAGCATTCATAACTGTGCTGCTGTAGTGATGCTGCTGTGATGCTGGTGGTGGCCACAGCAGTGGTCCTGTGCTGCAGTGTGCAGGTTTTGAGCTGACGGTGCTGGCAGCGAAGAGCTCCTGTGGTGTGATAGGGCTGTGTCTTTGGATGCCCATTTCTCTTGTTCCTGCCAGTTTCTGATTCTTCAGCCTCACTGACAATTTCCCAAGCTCCCCCATAGCTTTCCAATAAAACTTCGCTGCTTAAATTGAGTTGGTTTCTGTTGTTTGTAACTAAGATCCCCAACTCACACCTGCTGGCACCATGACCGCTTTTTGTGCCTGTTCTCCTAGTCATATAAACCCATTGCTGTCGAGTCGATTCCAACTCATAGCAACTCTATAGGACAGAGTAGAACTGCCCCATGGGATTGCCAAGGAGTGGCTGGTGGATTCAGACTGCCGATCATCTGGTTCACAGCCAAGCTCTTAACTACTGCACCGTCAGGGCTCCCCTAGTCATATAAAATAGCCCAAATGGCCAAAGGTCAGGCTATTTCTGTTTGCAACACACTGGACCCATCACTGGTACCTGGAGGCATGGCTTAAGAACAGCAGGCCTCGGGGCTGGGGGCAGGGGTGGGGGCTCTAGACATAAAGTGGTCATTTTGGAGAGTAGGTTATTTGGCATAATCATTAAAGGTGTCACCCACTATACTTCATTTTTGGTTTTTGGGCTTGTTTTCTGACTGTGGAAGAAACAACCCCAAATTCTGGTCACTAATTTTGAGCATAAACGACTACATATTGCAAGAGAGAATCCCCACTCCTGATGTGGTTCCCCCAGCTGGCACTGCAGCTGAATCATCATAAGGCCCTTCCTCTGCTCTAAGGCACTACCCTTCTCTTAGTCCTCTGTCCTAGATAAATCCATCTACATACATGCCTAGGGATTTCTGACCTGAAATGTCTTTTCCTGCCCTGTCTACATTCTGTACATCCTTTAAAAAGTCCTGTTCACGTGCCAGCTGTTGAAAAACTAATTTTTCATGACCCTAGCTCAAAGTGGAAATGCCTCCCTCTCTCCTTCCCTTTCTGTGTCTCTCTTCTCTGTAAGTCCTTGAGGTCAGGACCTATGTCAGACATTTCTATAGTCCTGGCATGCAGTGCTACTTGCTGACAGGGTGAATGAATTCCTCTCCCAAAGCAGATTCAAGGCAGGGATTGTATTCAGAGAAAACCCAGGAGTCATGGGGGCCTGGCCCCACCAGGCTTACCTGGCCCAGCATTAGTCCCACTTCCACCCCCAGCCTCTGGAGACCCTGGCACCCCCTCATCCTCCCAACCCCTATCCCATTTTATGTTTGTCCTACTGAATTCTCAGTGTTTCAGAGGCTGTTTGGGGCCTAGGGCCTGTGGATAAGAGGTCTGAAGATGGAGAAATAAATGGCTACCAGCCTCAGCACGTCCCTTCTTTGGCCTGGGCTGACCCTCTGACAAACATGAAGCTGATGGGGCATTTGCCCATCTGCCACCTGGCCCCAGCCTTGGGCAAAGGTCTGGCATGAAGCAAGCCAGATTTTGGAATTCCTGAGCAACCCTTTCAGCCTGCCTGGCATTTGCATCTGCAGAATGGGATTTTGCAGCTAGGCACGTTGCTGCAGGTTTCTGTTGGCCCCTACACTCCTCCCTTTCTCCTATTTCCTTCCTCTGGACTTCACTATCCTAAGAAGGGCGGTCAGATATTAGTGGGGCTTCATATATTTGGATAAGACTTCCCCAAACCCTTTCACATTCCATGATTTCACTGGACCTTCGCATCAACCCCAGAAAGTAAGGAGCATTGCCTTGGCTTTAGTAATAAGGAGACCAGGGTTCAGAAAGATGGTGGCAGTTTTGCAAAGAGCAAGACTATGCCTGCTTGGTGGGGAGGGCAGCAGGGATGTCTTCTCCCCACCCACCCCAGTGTAGTAAGGAGCAGGTAGGGGTCTTGTCCTCATCGTAAAAGCCCAGACAGGCTTCAGCTAGGGTCGTTCAGACATAGAAGGGTTCTTCCACAGGAGCTGGAGACTTTGCAGGAGACAGTGGCTGCTTAAAGAGACAGAAGAACGTGGCTGAAGAAGGGTCCGGGAAGCCGGAAGGAAGCACTGAACTAAGACAGCGAACACATAAAGGGAAATCTTCAGGGACCCAGCAGAACCAAGCTCAGCTAGAACCATGCTTGCATTCAGCAAATGTGTTTGTGCTCACTCTGGGCTCAGAGCTGGAGATTTAGAGCTGATTAGTTTAGTTCAACAAATATTTATTGAGCCCCTGCCTGTGGTGTGTTGGACTGGGGCCTGCAAGAGATGAATAAGGCATAGTCCTTCCCTCAAAGAGCTCATAGGCTAGTGTGAGAGACAGACTTGCAAAGAGAGAATTGCAATCTTCTGCAGAAAGTGCTATGTGGAGGTAAATACCTGGCTGTGTTGGGAAGGGGTGGTCATCAAGGTGCTCCGGATGAGCTGACTCCTAACACACATATGAGTGGGCAGTAGTCAGGTAAAGAAAGGAGGATGGGTCCTTTCAAGCACGTTTGGTGGAAGTGTCAGTTGGTGCAATTTGTTTGAAGGACCATTTAGTGAAATGCATTAACATTTAAAATCCCCACACTGTCTGACCCAGCAATTCCACTAGTAGGAATTTATCCTACATTAACACAAGCACAAGGTTGTTTGTACAAGGATATTCATTGTTGTGTTGTTTATAGTAGCAAAAGACTGGAAGGCATTTAAATATAGATCACTAGGGGCCTGGTTAAATAAATTATGGCACAGCCATCAGATGTTTACTAGGCAGCCTTTACCTAGAATGAGATAGATCCACGTGTATGACCATGGACCGGTGGTCACCATGCATGCTTAACAAAATATACAGATATGCTTACGTGTACATAGAATACGTCTGGAGATAACCAAGAAACAGGGGCTAAGGTCAGGGGTGAGAAGGAGTCTCACTTTTTTACTATACACCCATTTTTTCCCATCTGAAATTTTTGTGAATTTGGTTTTGTTTTTATTTATTTATTTTTACCATATTTAAACGGGACCAATTCAGGAAGAAAGGAAGGAGGGAGGGAGGGAGGAAGAAAGAAAACGGGTAGGTGAGAGATCCTGGGTAAAGAGAACTGCCTGAACAAAGGCCTGGAGGTATGAAATAGTGTGGTTTGTATCTTAGGCCCTAAGTTGTGGAAAAGGAAGTCCCCCAGGTGAGTTCCAGTAATGAAGTGGGGAAGCCAGGTCCCCTGAGAACCACAAACTTCAGCTCAAGCAGGCCTCCTAGGCAGAAGAAGAATCATAGCAGAGCTGGCCTCTTGAAGATACTGTGTGAGGATTGGAAGGTGGCCCAGCATCCAGAACAGGTCCACTATGACCTCAGGTATGTAAAAGAGATCTCCAGATTG